GACCCCTTTTTTTGTGTGTGTGTGTGTGTGTGTGTGTGTGTGAGAGAGAGAGAGAGAGAGAGAGAGAGAGAGAGAGAGAGAGAGAGCCAGCCTCAGTTGAAGGCAAAAGTAGGCAAACTTGGGGCAGAGGAGATGGCTCAGTAGGTAGAGTGCTTGCCTTGCAAGCATGAGGTTCTGAGTTCAACACTCCGAACTCATAAATAAACCAGGCACAGTGGGGTGTACATGTAATCCCACTGGGGTAGCAGATTCCCGGGGCTCACTTTGGTCTACTTGGTAAGCTCCAGGTTAGTGAGAAATCCTGTCTCAAAAAACAAGGCAGACAGCACGTGAGGAACAACATCCAAAGTTGATCTCCACACGCACAGGTACCGATATAAACGCATGCATGCAACGGCACACATTTTACACAAGAAACCAAACAGCAAACTAAACATGCAAAATTTAAAAGCCCTGACTCTAAGACAAGTATTTTCTTTATACTTTCTTTTTCTTAGCAGAAAAGTGACTTCAGACATAAGTACCCCAATAATAAAAATAATAATGATAATAACGGCAAGTATCAATACAGCAAGCTGAGGAGGAAACACATGGCACCCTGATAGGCATGAAACTTAGCATTGTGAATGGAGGAGAGAAGACTGTGAGAATATACAGTGTGAGGGCACATTCCAATTATTCCATATGGAATTTCTGGTTCACACTCATAGTAAGCCATGCAAAATCAAAAGGTACAAATGCAACAAATAAAATTTTAGCCTATAGCTTCACGTATTGTTGCACGTATTATTAAGCTTATACTTTAGTGCCCACACAAATATATGTATCTATTTTAAAGCCATATTTGCTTTTCAAACAGAATGATTTATCAACAAAAGAAACATTTACAGAAAGAGAACATTACTAGCTATCTTTTCCTCTTCCACAATGGTAAACATTATCCTGACCTTTGCTTTCTGTAACCATTTCTTTGAACCTAATATAAATGGAATCACATATGTAATTTTACACCTGGCTTCTTTTGCTTCATTATGTATGGGACCTAGTATTGATCCAGGCAACTGCAGTCAGATCATTTTTGTTGTTGTACAGTATTTCACTGTGTGATTATATCATAGTATGTACATTTAACTACCGAGCATTTGGCTGTTTCCACTTCTTCAATACATTTTCATTCATGATATGTTAGCCTTGGTAATAAAAATACCATTTCTTTTTCAAAATTGCCATGGTTAAGGATCAAAGGGAACAACTAGCTGATTACTACCCTGCAGGCCTGAAGAGAGACCAAAGGACAAGCAAGTCTTACTAAACTGTACTTGCGCAGCCCGTCAGAGGCAACTCATTAGACAAGACATGGTGCCCTGAATGAGTGGGAACACACCTCTCAGCAGTGTTTTCTAGGCAGACTATGGACTAAAACCAAAAGCTTCTCTTCCACATGGGTTGGTGTGGTCACATAGTGAGAAATGTAAGAGGGGCAAACTCCTGAGGACATGCCATACAGATGTAACACGTCCTTTCTCCTTCAGAAAACCCACTTTAATTCCACTAACCCTACTTCAGAGTGAACACAAAGGCCTAGAATGTACCAGCCCTTCATCTGGTCTCTATTTTGTCTTCAGAACCCAATTTAATCATCCCCATTGTTACTGGACTAATTAACAACTATCGTTACATACAATTATGAGATTGATATTTAACTTGTGAACTAAAGACTATTAAAGACACCTAGGTCATCAATGGGGACCTTCATTATCAAGTTTTATCCTTTCATTTCTTGCAAAGAATATGAAATCTTGGAAATAGTCAACAAAGGCCTACAATATCAGTAGCCATCATAATGTGAATAATGTGGCATTTTTATATCTCCTCATTTAAATTTGTATAAGTAATATATTTCTAAAAGTGTAATTCATTGATAATGAAAATTTCTTTAAAAAGAAATTTGATTCTCAAATCTCTATGCTCAAACTAGATTTTGCTTTTGGGCTTCAGATCCATAATCTAACTGGTTTAGTTTCTGCTCAACTTTCATGTTCCCAAATGAACTCAACTCTTTCCTCTGTATTCTTGCCTCAATAAATGACACGTTCATTTACCAACTTACCCAAGCTAAAGGAGACATGACTTCCTCACCTACAAACCTTCACTACTCCTTTACCAAATCCTAGAGACCACCATCATAACAAACATCTACGATTTTACATCCCCAGTACCTTTCCCTAACTCTGGCAACCACCACACCTGTGACTCCTATGTCTCCATGCTAGTCTTGCTCCCCTTTCAGACTAACTGTCATCTTTTCTTTCCTTTCTTCTTCCTTTTTATGAGACACGGTCTCCTTGTAGCCCCATCTAGCCTGGAATTATGTAGACTAGGCTGGCCTAGGCCTCACACAGAGATCTGCCTGCCTCTGCCTCCCCAGTGCACCGGCACCACCAGGCTTGGAAACTGCCACCTTTCTATTGTTCAGACCCCTTGCTACTTGATCTACATTTGCACCCATCTCATTAAGCTCTACTCTCTAACAGGCTTCTCTTTCAGTTTAGAAGGTTCTCTCCTCACTTACTACTGCTTTGGAATGCCTTCTCTGACCCTGCAAAGGAGGGTTTAAGATCCTCTAATGTGGGGCCTGGAGAGATGGCTCAGTGGTTAAGAGCACTGACTGTTCTTGCAGAGGACCTGGGTTTGATTCCCAGCACCCACATGGCTACGAACCATCCTTAACTCCAGTTCCAGGGGAATCCGAAGCCCTCCGACCTCTGTGGCATTGCACAACATGGGCGCGCTCATATACGTGCAGGCAATACACTCGTACACATAAAATAAAAATAATAAAATATTAAAGATCCTCTAACGTGCCTTTGTAGCATTTTAGCTTTACTACAATGAAACAATTTCGGGTGCTTATAATAGCTTGTTTTGCACACCCTTCTAGTCAAGGGGTAGACTATGTCTACATTGTCTCATAACTCTTGTAATTCGTAGAAACATCAGTGAACACAAATGACAAGGTTCTCTGCTCTTGCTGAGCTCATACTCACTGTAGTGAGGGAGATACAACAATGTTAACTAAGAATTAAACCATTCAATATGTTAGATAAGCTCTATCAAAAGTAAGAAAAAGGAAAGAGAAGAGCAGATTAACAGGGACTACGAATACTGTAGTACAGACAGGGTAGTGAGGCTAGGCTTCATGGAGAAGATGAAATTTGAGCTATGATTTGAAAGAGGTGAGGGATTTATTCAAAAAATGCTTGGAGGGCACAGTGTTCCTGGTGTAGGACATAGCTAGAGCACAGATCACAATGCATGTACAAACCCTGTGGCAGAGCAGCTGGATGGGCAGAATGAAATGAGAAGGGAGAGGAGCAAGAAACGAGCTCAAAAAGGTAAATGCAGCAGAGGACCTTGTAGGTCATTGCAGGAACAATGAACAAGTTGACAGAGAAATTAGTTCTCATTTGTTTTAAAAGGATTGCTCAGGGAGACAAAAGGGTGGGGAAATACTGGAATTACTTTAGAGGTGCCATCAGTCTGGGCATGGAAGCAATCAATGGAAATCAATCAATCAATCAATCAATCAATCAATCAACAAACCAATCAATCAATCACAAATCAAATTCTTGCTCTGAGCTATAAAGAGGGGAACTGTCTTCAGTTGAGATAGGATGGCTGTCCAGAGGGTAAGTTTGGAGGGAAGGAAGAGAAAAAGGATCAACAGCTTTGTTTATTAGACATTCATGTGCTATTAGTAAGCAGCTGGACACATGAATGCAGACACCGTGTAAGGTGTGGACTGGCAATATGAACCTGGGAATTCTCAGCAAATGGTTTGTAGAACTAAGGGTTAGATTACATCACCTAGAGAGTAGAAATCAAGGACTACTGGAATCTAGAGCTTTCCAACAGTAAGAAGTAGAAGAGAAAGCTTCTCCTTTGCCGTCATGTCCCATACACCCGACTAAGTTTCTCACCATGTCTTCTCCTAAGACATTAAAATCAAGCGATTCCTGACCAAGAAACAAACCCAAAATTGTTCCATTCACATTTGGAGGAAAACTGGTAATAAAACCAGGTACAACTCCAGAGAAGACGCTGGAGGACCATGCTGGTCTGTGAGGATGCACCACAGCACAGCTGTTTAAGTAGAATTATGATCATCCATCGGTTCTGTGAGATTGGGCTGAAAGCTTCTGACCTAGATATTTGGTCATTTAAGTTGGAAATCTTTTTTATCTGCTCTGCATGAAAAAAATGATTGGTTCAGTAATAATTACGCAGAACTCAAAAAAAAAAAAAAAAAAAAAAAAGGGAGAGAGCTAGGGATACAGTTCAGCGGTACATCGTTTTCCTAGCAGGGATGAGGTTCTAGGTTTGATCCCCAGGACTGTCCCATCCCCACAAAATATTTTTCAAATAAAAATTAAAAAATTTGAAAAAGACTTAACTAAACAAAAGAAACAAATTAGAAATATTGTAAAAGAAACTGAAAAGGACAATTAGTGGCAACAGAAGGAAAACCAAGAATAGGAAGTCCTAAAAGCCAAGGAAAGAACGTTTCCCAAAGGAAAAGGAGTCATCACATACCAAAAGCTGATCCCCCAAGTGAAATGAGAACTGAGAACTGACTCATGGTTGTGGAAATTCACTGATGAATAGTTCTGCAGTATGGTGGGGAAAAGCCAATTGCTGAGGACAGAAATGACAGCTGTAACTGGCAGCAGTTGTGAGATTAATCATTTTTAAGATGATGGAACTAATATATTTATGTTGGGGGTAGGGGTAGAGATATAGCTCAGTGGCAGAGCACTTGCATAGTCGTGAGAGGCCCTGGATTTGATTTCCACACCACAAACACACAAAGTGATATACTAAGAGAGAATAATTGTTAAAATGATATTCTCTAATAGGCAAAAGGGAGCAGGACCTACCTAATACATGAGTGAAAAGACTGGCTTTGTGTGAGAACAGGACAGTTCATCAGAGCTTCATAAATATCTGCTGAAAGAAGTCTTTGGCTACCAAGATGAGCAATGGTGGGAACCAAACAGTAAACATCAGGTTTGGTATAACAGACGATTTGTGAATTCAGAGACCCACTGATTAGATGAACTTTTCCTTTTTCTCTTGCCCTCATTCCTCGGTTATAAAGTACTTCTCAATATTAATTTCAGCTCTTTTTTTTTTTTTTGCCCAATAGAAAATATCCAACTTTATTTAAAATATGCAGCACCAAAAGAGAGAGGCTTAAAACAAGATGCTGGTTAAGGGAAGAGAATACAGAATATACTTACCATTTTCATCTACTGCAAGTACACTCGCTCCTTTCCCCAAAAGTTCTTGAACGACCATTGTTAGCCCATTTCGGGCAGCAACATGCAGAGGCCTGAGGGGGAAAATTGTACATGTACATGCAGAATAAGCACAGACACACCTGGCTGTCAAAGAGCATTCATTGGTCAAGTTGTAAAGGGTCTACACATTCAAACTTGAGATACCTCGTTCTAACTGCGATGAAGAAGCAAAGGGACAGCAGAACCCCTGCAGTAAGCTTAGCCACTGGCATCATTTTCAGGTTCCCAAACCCTTTGATATTTTCCAAGACTCCAAGTTTAAAAGGACTTACTTAACCAGGGGCCGGAGAGGTGGCTTAGTGGTTAAGAGCACTGGCTGCTCTTGAAGAGAACCTGGGTTTTGTTTCTAGCATCTATGGTGGCTAACAACTGCTTATAACTCCACTTCTAGAGGATCCAACAACCTCTTCTGGCCTCCATGGGAATGGCATGCACATATGCACTTACATACATGTAAGCAAAACACTCATATGCATAAAATAAAAATTAAAAAATTTGAAAAAGACTTAACCAAACAAACTGCTTGCTGTTTTAAGAGATGAAGTTAACAAATATATAAAAATGGTAAACTGCAATAGCACAAATTCAAATCTTAAAAGAGTTTACTAGTCCCAAGACTTATTTTTGGATCCTCAAGGGATGTGATAGACTACTGGTTTATATTCTGGACTCAAAACTTTTTTCTTCACTAAGCAGAAACTGGAAGATGATGATGGCAGACACAGACCTAAAATCTTGACAATCAACCTCAGGGCCTGAGCCCACTGTAAGAGCTGGGTATTTTCTGAAACCTCTTAAAGCTATCATATACACATAAAGCTTCCCAACACATTTATATTTAGTATAATAAGCACTTTCAGCTGATTTTGATAAAATATACAGACCACTACTTTCCTTCAGATAATTGACTACATAGGCAAAAACAACAACTACAACAACAAAAAAACCAAAAAAAAAACCCCAAAAAACCAAAAACCCCACATCATTATCAATGTAATAGTTTCAGTTCAAAGGGAGATGCCCAGTACTAGGTTACACAACTGTAGTTGAACCTCTACAACCAAGGCTCATGGAACATAGTGGAATAAGGGGTAGAGAGGGCTAATGCACTCCTCAACTCTCACCAGTGAGGCTTACATGTACATCAGAGTGTGATGTACACAGAAGGCCACAACTGGCCAAGTTTTGGAGAATAAGAACCTGTAGAGTGTAGGATGGGAACTCCTATATGGAACCTCACCCATCCACGGCTCAGGGACCATTGCAGAAGAGGAGGTGGAAAGATTGTAAGAACCAGGGCTGGTTCATGAACATAGGGAGGTGGAGGACTCCAGGCCACTGGAGGCTTGCTTATGTGAGCCTATGGCAGCAGTGGCATTGAGCATGGGACCCATGTCAGCTCAATTAAACAATTAAAAGGGGAGGTGAGAAATAGGTGGCAGTCAGTACTAGGTTGAGAACTATTTGAGACTGACTGCTGCTGGGTGAGGGAGAATATGACTTACAGACAACCACTGGATGGACTGACTAGACTCCAGTGGACACAGGTACATTGAAAGACATTTGGGTACAAACACCTGAATGAATAGGACTCATCATGTACGGCAGACTGGATAGGGTTCGGTGGGTACAGGGGGAGGCATGGATGGGGAAGGAGGTCTGGATTTGAGTGGGAAGTGTATGAAATTTTAAAAGCTCAATAGAAAAGTGAGAAAAAAAGCTTTTTAAGTAATAGGGCTTTTAAATGTGATAATTTCAGATATTAGTTATGACAACTGTAAAAACTATACTTTTTAAACAGCTTCTATGACTGAGATCTATCCAATGGTCACATTTTAAAAAGTGTATTTTATCAATTTTTATAATTCTAATGATCACTAGTCATTCAAAGTACTCACGTTTGCAAGGCTGCGTTGGTTGCATTGATGAGGTTTCTATCTGTTATCTTTTCCAGTATTAACAAGGCACTAGTTTCATGACCCTAAAATTGTGGCAATTTAAAAACATGGGCACTATTAAAAATAAACCTATAAACTCAATAATTTCTAACCCTAGTCATACATATGTACGATACTATATACCAGAGTTTTTCTAAGCTAATGCCTAAAGTATTTAGTCAAAGGTCAGAAAGGAGAATAGGAAAACAGAACAGTAAAAATTTAAATTAAGGACATAACTGTTTAAGCTTGCATTTCAAAACTTGGTATGCTAATATTCTCATTTCCTCCCTGCCCACATGAAACTTGGTGCCAGTAATCATTAGAGAAGTACTTCTATTCATTTTAGTCAAGTGGAAAAACTTTTAATTTAATGATGAAAATACATCCTTAAACTATGCACATACCTTGCCGCAAGCCAAGTGAAGGGCGGTGTTTTTACTGTTATCCTGCAAAGTCAGATCAGCACTAGCACTGCTAACCAGCATCTCTGGGAGGAAAAAGTGCATCAATTCTTATGTTTATGAACATGTCTCTTAGATTACCAATAACTCACTGTAGAGAAACGAAGACATAAAGCGAAAACATCCCTCTTGCAAACAATTGCAAGAAAAATACTGTAATATATATAATACATATACTTTAAAATTTCTATGCAATCAGATGGTAACAGTAATAATTAGTATTTTTCTGAGTGCTTACTAAAGTTCAAACACTGTTTTATGTACTCCAAACTTACAGGGACTTAAGCCTCACAACAATCCTCTACAGTAGATGATGTTTCTCTCATTTTATAAGTGAAAGAACTGAGGCATAAGGTTACTTGGTTAAATACAAGATTCACACCCAGGTAACCAGATTCCAGAGCCTGTGCTTATTATAAATGGCCTTGAAAAAGATAACTCTTCAGTCCCTAAGGGCAAATTGAAACACTCTCCTAAATGAAAATATGGGGTTCAGGCAGGCAAAAGGGTTAAATGCCAGGAATGGTGAGATAATTAGTGGAAATCAGAAGACTTGGAAATCTACTTTATATACAGAAAGTTACATAGAATAGCATTCTTCAGTCTTTTTCTTCCTTAAAGCAAAGTGATTGTGTCTCACTACATAGTCCAGATAGGCTTTATATCTGTAACCCTCCTGACAGGGTTCTGAATAGCTGAGATTACAGGTTCATGCTAAGCTTGGTTCTAAACAATTTTTTTTTCCTTTTGGAGATGCTATGTGCCACAGGATGACCTCAAACTTGAGGTAGTTCTATAGCCTTGGCCTTTTCTAAACAGTTTCTTTACCAACTGTGTTGGTTTGTCCGTTTTCTGCAGCCATCATGAGAGGTGTTTTTCCAGTAGAGTCCACAGAGTTGACTTGAGCATTATGGCTGAGCAGCAGCTGTAAACATTCTACATGGTCTGTGAAGGCGGCAGCATGGAGAGGAGTTCTGTGACACAAATGAAATATGCCATAAAGCTGAATGTCATATACATTTTTCAAGGGTTTACGTAAGTGGTATTAAAAGCATTGCCAAGATACAAATAAACTCAATGGAACTCACTAATTTCTACCTCAGAAATGCATATTGTACATAATCTAGAAGGTCTAAAGTACAACTAGTCAACAATAAGGATAAATTATAAAGCCGATAAACTACTACTATATCATTAAAAAAAACCAATGCTTACTCCCTACTACCTATTACAATTGCTGGACTCTTCTTTCTAGTTTTTATTACTAATCAGAAAACTGTTAACTTTTAAAACAATGATCTTGGAGTTTAAAAAACATACTTCTTAAAGCAGGAAAGGAAAGTTTTACATTTTAAAATAAAACAAAGTACAAGTATTCTGTAAGATTATATAATAATTTACATTTGCAAATACAAAATTTTATTTTGAATTAGTTATGGGTTCTTTGTGAGCTCTCAAACACTTGGCTAGTAGTTACATTTTTTTCCCCTCTTATTGAAAGTAATACTATACCCTACAAGTTGGATTCCTACCTTCCCTTCGAATCTGTGGCATTCACAATGCTGGCACCTAACGTATCAATGAGCATCTCAGCAGCACCTTCGTTGTCATTGATCCTGGATATGATAACAAGGCGATCACTCTCACAGTCACAGTGTATTTCTTAAGGCAAATCTGATCCATCATGGCTTTACTTACACAGCACAATGCAATGGACTGAATGCATTTCCGTCTATTTTCTGGAAAACCTCCTGTTCTAAAAGAAGTTCTACACATGTCTCATGACCTAAATAAGTGAATAAGAATGAGATATTAAAATCCAAGGACATTAGCAAAAAATCTCATGTACATCCAAGTATCTAAAAGGAAAAAGATGAAGTCCCTGTGTCCATTCCATTTCTACTCTTTAGACTGTAACCAGTGGTCTTAGCCACTCTAGAAAATTTCTAGGCATATACGCTGCTTGTACACACCTATTTTCTTTTTAAAATGCAAATGGGATGTTTTGTTCAGCAACTTTCAATGAATAAACTGCATCTTTCTATAATAGCATATGTAGAAATTTTTTTCTTTTTAAAAAATATTTTATTTCTATTTTATGTGTATGAGTGTACTCTGTGTAAGTGTACCTGTGTCATGTAATGCCTGGGAGGTTGTGGGGGTATCAGAAGGTGTCAAATCACTTGGAACTGGAGTTACAGATGGCTGTTAGCCACCATGTGGGTGCTGGGAATTGAACCCAGGTCCCCTGCAAGAGCAGCCAGTGCTCTTAACTGCTGAGCCGTGTCTCCAGCCCAAAATTTTATTATTTTTTAAAAAATATTTTATTTTTATTTTATGTGTATGAGTGTATTGTCTGCATGTATGTAAGTGCACCCATGTCGTGCAATGCCACGTAGGTCAGAAAAGGGCTTCAGATTCCCCTGGAATCTGGAGTTAAGGACGGTTCGTAGCCACCATGGGGGTGCTGGGATCGAACCCGGGTCCTCTGCAAGAGCAGTCAGTGCTCTTAACTGCTGAGCCATCTCTCCAGCCCCAGCTTTCTACTCTTATAGAAACAAAATGATTTAATTATGGAAAAGAAAGATCTTTTAATATTTTCCTACTTTTATTTTTCAGCATGTAAGTATCAAATTAATACATATTTCACTAGTACTGTTTTAGATACACAGGTACATGCATCTCATTTGTATGTAAACTTACTTTCTTCTTTAACAACTAGTAAAGTTTGTATATCAAAGAGCTGATTTAAAAC